GAAAATCAGTACAAGATAATGAATTAGAGATGAAGGAAATTCCTTGCCTTGAATAAGGTTTGGGGAACCTTCTTATTCACTCTGCTATCTTACAAAACATGTTATTCAGGGAAGAACCACTCTTGCCTTCACTATGTAGGGTCCCTCTGTAGAGGCCCTCTAGTTTTGATGACCTCATATTCTTTAGGCTTCTCATCTCCCTTCCACTCCTATATGATTCTAGATATTGCTGGTCCAAGGGATGGATTTCAGCAGTGTTGGGGGAAGTGGAAAGAGACTGAGGTACAACCACCTTTTCTTTTCCTTTGGAGTCAATCAGCGCCTGTCTTCCAAAACGAGTGACTTCTAAATACATGACCATTACTGGGGAATTATCCCAAGGATGGCTTATGAAAAGGGAGCATGGGAAGACTGGGTGATCAGTACCTGAGGTCTCAGAAGGCAAAGCTGCTCAACGCCCTGTTTTCTCCATGGGGAAAACAAAGAAAGAGGCGCTGGAGTGGGCAGGCTCTTGTTGACATATCCCAACATATGAGGTCAGAAAGGTCATCAGTGAGGCATTCTGGGAAAAATATAAAGAGCGTAATTGATATCAGTCTTGATGAGTGTGATCTTTAAGCTTTCCCATTTCTTCTGAATTCAGAAAAGATCTATCTTCCCTTTAGAGGTGTGGGGGGTGGCAATATGAGCTGCTTTGGGTGTAGTGGCATTTAAATTGTATTTTAATAAATAAAGTGTGCCTGAAGATCTGAGAGTAAAACAGTCTCACTGGTCAGTCTTACAGACCAGGTAATGGTAACATCCACCTTTAATCCCAGTAGCCAAAATGACATCCACCTTTAATCCCAGTAGCCATACTAGTTGCTATAGAAACTGGGCAGTGCATGCCTTTAATCCCAGCCCTAGAGGGGATTATAAAACAGGAGGAAACAGCTCTCAACACACAGTCTCATTCTGAGATTCTTGGAGGCAGGATCACCATTTTAGACTGAGGTCGAGGTAAGAACCAGTGACTGGCTGCTTTGCTTTTCAGATCTTCAGGTGGAATCCCAATTTCTCTGAGTTTTTATTAATCATGCTTCATTTGGACCATGAGACATGAGTACGCGTAGGATGTACAACTTTCGGGGAGAGGCTTTACTATGGCTCCTTCCTGTTGTGGTTATCATGGAAGAGTATGCCTAAAGAAGGGCTCTCCAACCACCTAAGTCACAGAGTGATGATGGGGGCCACTCTCCTGATGACATGTAACAGACTTGTAACACGAGAGAGAAGTCAGTCTTTGTTGGCCAAGTCACTCTTGAGGTGATCATAGCAGTACAGCTCTACCTGAGCTGGCTGATATGGGACAGCTCGGAGGAGCATCAAAGAATTTGGGATAGCAAAACCGTGACCTTGAAAATTCTGGCATTAACCAAAATTGACAAGTGCTGAAATACGCAAGAGATTATGCTTATGGGAAGAATGGAAATGTTATAAAACTTAAAGGAATTGGAAGTATCAATAAAACCAATAAAATGAATTAGAAGTATCAATAAAACCAATAAAATGAATTGAGGAAGAAATTAAACATAGTTCTTTCTACTTTCATAGTGGGAATTCGCATCATCAATCATTAAAAACTGGAGTTGAAACCCAATGATACTGTTTCTCCTCCGCATCATAGATGAACTTTTCAACCTTTATTTTTACATGTATGAGTATTTTTGCTTGCATGTAAATACGTGCACCACATACACGCCTGGTGCCTAAAGTGGCCAAAGAGGGCACTGAATCCCCTGGGACTGGAGTAAAGATGGTGCCATGCGGGTGCTAGGACTCGAACCTGGACCTCTGAAAGAGAAGTCAGTGCTCTTAACAGCTAAGCTACTGCTCCAACCCAACACTTTGAGTTTTTAACCAAGAAAATAAATTTTCTTGCTGGGCCTCAAACCTAGGTCTCACGCACGCTAGGCAAATACTCCACCATTGAACTCCATCCTCATGCCTGTAAGACCTTGATTTAGAAATGTATCACTATGTCTAATGATGAAAGGAATTCAGCAAGATTCAGTAATTTTTTTTTAAGTTCTACTTTTCTTGACAAAATAAAGCTAATTGCCAACACTCTTGTCTTAGGTTGGCTTCTCTGAGAAGCAGACTCACACACTAAATTTGAATATTTTGGGTGGCACGGGGAAGAAAGGAGGGATGATGGCGAATTGTGTCAACTGGACAGAAGCCAGACTCACTGCCAGACGGACGGGCTGCTGGTAATACTTGTGGAGGATTTTCTTGTGTTCATTGAGATGGAAAGACCTGCCCACTGTGGTCGGCTGCATTCCCTGACTGGGATCCTAGACTGTTTAAGTGAACAGAGGAAGCTGCATGTATACATTGCTCTCTCCTTGACTGAGGGGCAATGTAAGCAGCTCAAGCCCCTGCTACTGCTGCGAACCTTCCAGATAGACCGTAATCTGGACCTGTGGGCCAAATAAACCCTTCCTCTCTTAAGCAGCCTTTGTCAACATGTTGTATCCCAGCAACAGAAAAAGAACGCTAAGACAGGAGGGATCCCAGGAGCCACTCCCCGCAGGATGTGAAGTAGGAAGAGAAGGGTGTAGATACAGGGCGTCAAAGAGAAAATGGCTACTTTGGATAAGTGGAGTTTGGCCCTACTGGGGTGCCTGTCATACAGCTGCCCTGTCCAGACGACAAGGACACTGTTTTCCACTGACTTCATCCATCCACAGAGTCCCTCTGGTTGTTGACAGCACTGTTCCTTCTTCTATCTCTGTAGATGGCTCCTGCAGCCAGAGAGCAGCCTATGTCCTAGGAGAAACGGTTGAACTTTATTGGAAGAGTGAATGCCAGCAGGAAAAGGCATCAACAACGTTGAGTAAAACCTTTCAGAGTTTAAAAAGCCCGTACAGCAGATTAGCATCAGCTGATTTATGCTGAATTTAAAAAGCCAGCCTGAAAAGGCTACACACTGTTATTCCATTTACATGAATTTCCAGAAAAGCCAAAACTTTGACAGAAAATCATCTTGTAGCTACCAGGAGCTGGAAGTGGGGGAGGGGATGTTTATGGAGAGGCAGGACCGTACTAAAAGACAAGATTCACTGTGTGGCGTTGTACCTAAAACCCCCCACAGTGATAGCCTTACAAACATGTCTGCATTCTTTGCTGTCTCAAGGAAGCAGGATCATTCCCAGGATGCTTAATGACTTGTTTCTAAAATCTAGACTCTGAAATCAGGCAGAAGAGACACAGCATGAGTCAGAGGCTAGGTGACAGGAAGCAGTGTGGTATTGTCTCTACCTCTGTGTTCCCTCTCTCCTGTCTTCACAGGCCGTACCATGAGCAGCCTTGTGGAAGGCCCAGTGATGAGGAAGGGAGGCCTCCAGCCAACAGCCATGAGAAGGAGCCTCCTTAGAGATGGCTCCTCCACCCTCATCCTAGAGGAAGCTACTACCCAGCAAACAGTCTATGACCTCATGTGACCAAACCAGCTGAGTCACCTTCAGGGTCCTATCCCTTAGGACCTTGTTCATAGGCTGAGAAGTCCGAAATGGTGCTTCCAATTTTAGCGTTCAGATTTAAGACTATTTGCCGATTGCTCATTCAAAGTCCCTAAATCTGGAACCTTCCAGAATGGGAAATCCAAGTTGAAAGTATTTCAGAGTATTAAAATTGGTATTGTTATATTACGGTGTGCCGTGCAGGTGTGCCACCCCAAGCGTGTCAGGTCAGCTTTTGGGACTTAGGGGCCTCCTTTCACCTTTATGGGGGCTCTGGGGGCAAAGATGTCTCTAGATCTGCACCACACAGTTGCCACTCTCCGGCCCCATTCAAGATTCTGGTTGCCAGCTTACTCCGCCTGTGGCAGAATTATTGTTTGTTTTAAGCTGCTGTGTACTGGGGTAATTTGCTATATAGCAATAGGTGGCTAAGACACCGACTGAAACTTTAATGTTCATTTTTTATAACTATGCATGGTGTCACATAAGTTTTGGAGAGTTCGATTTGGCTTTATGTCACCTGAAGTGAGTGATGGGGGTTTCTGGGTGTGTTTCAAGGTGAATTTGGGTTCTTGTTTTATTACATTCATAAACCCTTATGATGCTCATGCATCTTTAAGGAGAATACATATCGTGGCTCATGCCTGCAATCACAGCTTAGCAGCTGGAGGCCAGCTGAGGCTACACAATGAGTTCTAAGTCAGCCTGAGTTATCGAGGGCGACTCTTGTCTCAAAAATTAAAAAAGTAAATATTTAAAAAATTAAAGCCTGTGTGTCTGTGTGTGTAAGCATGTAAAAGTTGGGGAGATGATTCAATCAGGAAGTGTCGCATGGGGTAGTTTGAATAAAAATGGCCCCATAGTCCCATAGGGGGTAGCACTGTTAGGAGGTGTGGCTGTGTTGGAAGAAGGGGGTCAATGAAGGCTGGCTTTGAGGTCTCTCATGCTCAAGCCGTGCCCAGCATGACATTCTCTTCCTGCTGTCTGCTGATCCCGATGTAGAACTCTCCGCTACCTCTCCGGCACCACGTCTGCCTGTGTGTTATGTACACAGTGACCATGGGAACCATGATGACAATGGACTAAACCTCTGAAACTGTAAGCCAGTCCCAATTAAAATGGTTTCCATTATAAAAGTTGCTGTAGTCATGGTGTCCCTTCACCGCAATAGAAACTCTAACTATGACACCACGCAAGCATGAGAGCGGCCCTGGGTTTGGATCCCTGGCACCCACATCCAATGAAATCTGGTATGGTGGCACATGTCCAGAGACAAGAGGATTCCTCATTCTTGATGGCCAGCTAGTGCTTGCTAAATTAGTGAGCTCCAAGTTCAGTGAGAGACCTTGTCTAAAAGTCTAAGGGTGGAAAGCATTAGAAGGAGACAGCTGTGTCAACATCTGGTGTCAGTCAGCACTTCTCCCAACAGGTATCCATCACACACATACTCATACACAAATGATAAGAAAAGTAGAAACACGAGAGACAACTTGGATCCTGGGTGTAGGTGGTGACTGAGTCGTTTATCTGGGGTAGAGCGGCCAGGCCCGGGTGTTTACAGGAAGTAGGAACACCACTTCTTCAGGCAGGTGGAGCTCTCGCGGGCTTCATGCTCCGTGGCCCCACAGCAACAAATGAGCCACCTCTGGAACTCTGCCTCGTTCTTGTGCATGAGAAGGAACTGTCCCAGCAGGATATAGGCCTGGGAAGAAGAACGTGTGGGAGGAAGATGAGGTTATCAGAATCCCACTCAGAAGTGCCTGCCCTCCCGCCACCATCGGTACTCGGTTGACAATCAAAGGTTGGGATGTGGGTCAGACGAGAGGGGTTGGTCGTCGGGTCAACTCCTGACAAACCCTGGGGAAAGGTGAGGTCAAGTTAATTACATGTGTCTCTTAGACCTGGTCTAGGGGCTGCCGTCCTGCAGTGACCGCTAGGCCTTGTCCTCAAACTTGAAAAAATTCTCTAGGATTTTGTAAAAGAGAAGTTTCTAACTCAGTATCTAAAACTAGGGCGGGGTTCAAGACTCCCAACTTCTAATAGGCTCTCCCAGATGAGTTGGGTCAAAGACTGTTTCGGGGGGGGGGAGATAATGGGTAGGTGACAAACATGCTTCTGAGCTACTTTTAGGCCTGTCATTTAATCTTTTCTTCAGTGGTGGTGGTGGTGTGTGTATGTGTGCACTGGGGACTAAATCCAGTGTCTTGTGTGTGCTAGGCAAGTACTCTACCAATGAGCTACATCTGTTCAAGTAGGTTCCTTCTTCAAAACACATAAAAAGCCAAGCTAGAGTGTGTGACTCCCTAGCCCGCTGCTTTCTCAACAGCTGGACTATAGGGTACCTCAACCTCAACACTACTGGTATGCTGGATGATTCTGCATCACGGGGACTGTCCTGTGCACGGCAGGACATTTAACAGCCTCTATACTATCCCCTGGGTGCCAGTAGCCCCTCCCCAGTTTCCAAGAGAGAGCAATCATAAGGATTTCCGGATACTGCTGAGAAATCTTCCTCACTTGAGAACTGCAGATGTGGCTGGCAGGTGAAAGACCAGGTAGCATCCAGTTGACTTTGCAAACTACCTGTGTGATCTTAGTAACTCGGTGGAAAGATTCCCAGGGCTGGAGGCGCAGGGCTGCCCTGCCCACGAGGTTGTCAAATGGGAAGACACAAATGCCGGGGAGAGCCATCCCCATAGGAACAGCACCTACGGCATAAATCATGCTTAACCTTGAACCACTTTCTCAAGCCTCAAACTGGAGATGTATCACTGGCCTCTTTCTCTCTTTGAATGAGCTTTTCCGCCTGGCAGACTGAGCAACAAGCTCCCAATTTCCCTGTCTTTCCAGCCTGTGGACAACCAAGGTAGAGGCTCTAATTGTGTGAAAATAAATAATAAACAAATCTCCTCTAATAATTATATATAGTCTCCTGGCCCTGTTTCTCTGGAAACTCCCGATAATATAATTCCCGAGAATGTCTGTGGATGAAAAAAGCCACATGAGCAAAGTATAATGGCACAGATGTACAAAAATGTCACCGCAGAAGCCGTTACTTTCTATGCTAACTCGAAAACTTAATTTAGAAAAAATTAAAGGGGAAATGGCTCAGTGGGTAAGAACATTTTCTCTGCAAGCACGAGGACCTGAGTTCAAGTCCTGAGTACCCCCATAAAAAGCTGGCTGTGGTCATGCATGTACCCCTAACCCTAGCATTGTGAGGTCAGAGATTGCTGGGGCTTGCTGGCCAACTGCCTAGCTACAGACTCAGTGAAAACCCTGTCTTAGGAAAGTTAGAGAATGGTGGAACAGAGCAGCTGACATCCTACTCCAGCCTGCATGCACACCCATGTGTATGTAACACACACACACACACACACACACACACACACACACACACACACCAGAACCAAAAGGAAAAATGTCAGACACACATAAGGCATATACATTAAGTCCACCCTGCTTCCTGGTTCTATAGCAATTTCACCATTAGGAATTTTCTGCCTACTTTCCCCCCACATCTTCATATCTCCGCCAGGCTGTTATTAGCAAGGAACAGGGGAGTAGAGCCACAGATGGAGATAATCACTATACGGTGGAGACTAGATTTCAGGTCACAGTATGTATCCATCACTGGGGCCTGGCTCGAGGGCTCTCTAGCCTAGAATGAAGAAGAGTCAGCTTCCATCCACACCTCCAAGTTCTGGGCCCTTCCCAGGAAAACCTACTGTTGGCTGTGTGTTGACTTTTCATTACATAAAACAAAGCATATTTCATAATAATCAAAGGGGACATGTGTGTGCTGTGTGTGTGTGCTGTGTGTGTGTGTGCTGTGTGTGTGTGTGCTGTGTATGTGTGCTGTGTGTGTATGAAATCAAAGAAAAGCTGAAGCCTAGTCACAAAAGGTGCTTGAGCATTGTAGTTCGTCGGCTTTACTTTATTATTTGTAGTGAGCTGGATTAAACCCAGGGCTTTGCACACACTAGATGAACAATCTACCACTGAGCTCCCCCGCCCAGGGTTTAATTTTAGATACTGGCCAGTTGTTGAAAAGAGAAAGGAGCTCTGGACTTGCAGTGATTTTTAAGGCACAGCTTTATTTTAAAAATAGAAAACCAAAACCCAGCGTCTTAGCATGATCTCCTTTTTTTTAGCGGTGTCCTCCCGTTTTCACTGGTGGATTTTGCTGAGGTGGGTTTAAGTTAGTATTTTGAAGCATTGGCGTTCACTAAGCGTTCACTGAGGCCCGTGCTGCAGTTGTTGTTGGCGTGCCTAGGTGAGTACTACAGGGTGCACTTAGAGCTCACACGGGGAGAAACATCCATGAGATTTGTCACGACATGCTGTAGGGCTCAGGAGCTCAGCTCAGTAGCAGAGTTCTTCCCTAGAAAGCACAAGGCCCTTGATTTGGTCCTCAGCGCCGGGAGGAAGAATGACAAATAGCTAGAGATACTTCTGAGCCCTTTGGCAAGCCACCCTCTTAAACCAATCCGTTTGATCCTCATGGGTGCCCTGCCCACCCATTCTTGAGATGGTGTCCCAAATAAGGAACTCCTGAGAGGCTGAGACTCCCTCCTTTGCCCACCCTGCTCTTCCATATCCCAGCCATCTGTAGTCTAGTCTGGAGGCAAAGACATCCTCTGCCTGTTTCTGAGGCTGGCCTGGCCTCAGCTGGTGTGGTAATCAGAGCCTTTGCAGCGTGCAGGGCTCAGCAGCCAGGAAGCTCAGGAATGCGTGGCAGGCAGGGCCCAGGCAAGCTTTCCAGGAATGGGGCAGGCAGAAGGGTCTCTGAGCCAAGTTGCAATCTGAGCCTCCCTCCTTGTGGGCTTTCCCTGGAGTTCCACGCTGGCATCTTCCAGAGAGCACAGAGATGGACTGCCTTGCTTTATCCTTGAGAACTTAATATTGCTCCTGAGTGAAGGGGGAGCCCATGGCTCTTGTTGTGGCCTCTGTTCAATGCCTTCCTGGTTTTCCCACTACCTCCAGAAAATGAACCCCTAACCAGAAGCCCCGAGGTAAGGAGGGTGGTACAGAAACACAGACACCCCAGGCAGGACTTTCTACCTCTATCACCCTGGCCAGGGGCCATGCCACAGCCTGGGGGTAGCAGATGGTAACTCAAGGGCAGACTTGCTCTCCACTCCAAGTTCACACAGGGAAGCTCTGCCAGGGTCTTCCCCCAAGCCGCGTGACCTGGTCTCTTATGACTGGTATCCTTGTTAAACTGCAGCTATTTGGATCTGCACAGAGGCTAATCCGTGGAGTTGCCTGAGATCCTGCCCAAAGAACATCCATAGACCCCTTTTAATGCTATGCTATCTTAATACATTTATACTTGATCTTAGCCCAGACTGGGAAGGGCTAAGTCTTAATACATTTAAACAAAAGGTCTCAGCTTGTCGCTCTGCCCTGGGCCCTGCACACTAGGTAGCTGGCCCTGATCAGCACTCATTGAAATGTTGAACCTTCATCATGGTACCTGGCCTTGTCAGACTGAGATGAACTGTTGTGAATTCTCTTATGATCGGGCTCCTAGCACATTCTCTTGCCCTCGATCAACAGTTCCCAAGCCCCAGTAAACAGTGTGCCTCCCATTGTTGCAAGACACTGTTGTGACTGTATGACCTTTCTGGTTTCCTTTCAACAAGCATGCACGCTTTGGTCTTCAGTCGACAAGTCCAGGAGCGACTTTGCAAACCCGCTGTTTCTCAGTCACTCCAGGCTTAAAGTACTGAGCCTTTGGTGTGAGTGCTCAATCCATAGCAGGTTTGGCCCTTCTACTTCTTCTCTATGCTCCCAAGACATGCTCATATTGTTACATTATTTATTTTAAAAATTCAACTTTCACTGGCTCCCCTGTATTTTATTTCACCACGCTATACAGAGTAACGTCCAAAGTTAAATGCCTGGTCCCTTGCAAGGTTCATATGTCAGATAGTAGGGCCCAGTGTCAGCAGAGGACAGGAGAAATTGGGTTTCTCAGCAGTTTAGCATTAAAACCTGGAGACATGAAGAAGGCAGCAACTGGCAGTCCTGGGCATCCTGGTGCTGAGTTCAGCCTTCTGGCCTCTCTTCAACAAAGTGACTTTGGGATGAGATTGGCCATTTGAAGGAGCCCAGGTTGGAAGCGGGTGGGTTCACAGATGCTCATGCTCACAGTCTATGTGTGGGGGACAGTGGGTAAGGAGACACAGCTCCAGCCTGGCTGTGACAGGTCTGACACCATGTGTGTGATGGATTTTCCACTCACAGTGTCCCTTTCTACCTAGCAGCTCTCTTGCCACTTTTAAATCTCGATCAGTATTGTTTAGGAGAAATAGTAAATGAGCCAGCCACATAAGTAATTTTAATCTTCTAGAGGCCACAGAAGGACTGAGAGAGAAAAAAAAAGATGAAATGCATTCTGATAATATACTTTGTTTCTTCCATATTTTCAAAAATATTATTTCAGTATGTAATCAATAAAAATGTTATGAGATGTTTCACATTCCTTCTTGGGAGAAGACCTTAGCATCAAAGAGCATGTTTGATGTTTTTAACTCATCTCCATGCAGACAAGGTCTTAGCAGACATAGGACCAGTAGCTACCATTGCATTTAGGTCCTCAGGCCCCAGTGAATAGCAGGTGCTGAGTAACCAGAAAGACCTGCCACATTTTTGGGGCTCTAAGCCCCCTGAAGAGGTTCAGGTGAGTCAATAGTTAATACTTTCTTTAAAAAGGAAAAAAATACTTGTGTGAGAAAGAAAGGAGGAAGAAGGGGGGAGAGACAGAGCAAGAAAGAGCAAGCAAGTGTGGAGGGCGTGTGCGTGGGCACCTATGTGCTATAGCACACATGTGTAGAGGTCAAAGGACAACCTCAGGTGTCAATCATTGCCCTCCAGTTCGAGAGAGAGTCTTGTTTGCCACTGTGTAAGACAGGAGACTCCTGTTTCTGCTTCCCAACTTGCTGTCTGTATGTATTATAGACAAATGCCAGCATACTAGGCTTTGCTTGAGTTCAGGGGATCATACACAGGCATGGCAAATAATTTTACCTCTTCAGCCATTTCCCCAGCCCGTGTTTTCTTTTTGAAGCCAGGCTTCACTGTGTTGCACAGGCTGGTCTTGAATTTATAGGCTGAAATAACTCTCTTGTCTCAATCTCACGGCTCACTGAGACTACAAGCACACAGTCCTGCACCCTATGAATCAATAGTTTTAAAAATCATGGTTTAACCACGAGGGGTAGACCAGTAGTCTGTCTCCTGTAGTCAAGGCTCTGAGGGATAGAGACACACATCCCCCTTCTTCATGCTAGCCATCTGCTAAAGAGATGGAAGCTCAGCACAGGGGCAGGGGAGAAGGCACTAGGACTGGTGAGAGTGAGGGAAGGTATCTGCTCAATTCAGGCCACACCCCTAGAGAGATGGTAGGTGTGTGAGGACATCCTTGCTGTCTTATTAATGACTTCTCGCTCTCTGCATCCAGCAGCCTGGTAGCTTTGGAAAGAGCTGGTGGCCAAGTAAAGAGCCCAGGCAAGCAGGTATGAGCTGAGAGAGTCCTCTGGGAAAATGCCGAGAATGTTTTGCGAACAAGTGGGGCCCCTGAGGCAACGTTTGTTTAGGGCAAAGATGAGAACTCAGCCTGGGGAGAGCAGGGGAGGAAAATGATGGCCTTACAACAACAGAGGCTGGTAAAGACAGAGGATGGGAGGAGGCCCTGAAAGACCTCCCTGTACACAGGTCCCCTGTGGGCAGAAAATGAATACCCCCACAGGCTGCATCTTCATTCACTAGCCCTGAGATCCCTGCCTTATAGAATCTGCTTATCCTGGATGCTGGCATTCTGCAGATGTGGGCATTCTGCCCACAGCCCCATCGGTATCATGATGCATTTGTTCGTCTTGTAGGTGACACACCTGTGCATCCTCCTGGGTACTCTTATGGGCCCAGTCAGGGTTTGATGGGTCTCAGGAGCTGATGTGAAATAGAACTACCAAATCTTCTTTTTTTTTTTTTCCCATAACTGCCAAATCTTAGTCTAAGCCCTTCCTGCTGGGTATAAGTGCATGAATCTTCTTGTATTGTTTTCGATGGTACAATGAGTAGGGCCATTCTCCTTCCCACTGGGGACCTCAGAGAGCCAACTGCCAACGCCTCTGCTCTGCATTTTATTTGGCCTGATTTTATCACTTTATTTGTGGTGTGTTATATCTTAATGTGGTGTCAGATAAGAAACCCAGGTCCTCTCAGGTGCTGGGCAAGCACTGCCGCCAGGCCACATCTGTCAGGCCTCCGTTTGCACTGACCTTCCAAGGTAAAGAAACTCAAAACCAGCACCTCTCAGTGTCAGGAGTCAGTAGCTCTGGGAATGCTCAGGGCCCTGACCGGAACGCTGGACACTGTGCTGGTCAGCCGGCCGTGAGCACTGAGCGTGCGCTTGTCTGTGGACCAAGATGTCCATAAGTCCTCCCTGTAGTCCTGTGTGCGCGGACCAGAGTCAAACTGAAAAACGTCGATTTATTCCCTCGCTCCCTCATTCCACCATTCCACATCCGTCTCTGTACTTCTAATCCTTACTTCAAACAGAGGTGAGCCGGAGAGGGCAAAACTACAGGGCCACAAAACAAAGCAGAAGTTGGCAGGGAAGAGGATGTTGAGTTTCAAGGCACAGGAAATGGCTGGGGAGTTGAGGCCACGCTTTGTCGAGGCTACCTGGCCACGCCTTTGTAGAAGCGCGCAGACCTGCTGTGTGGAGAGGCGCATGTCTGTAATGTCCAGGAGAATGAGATAGAAGAGCCGCAAGTCTGAAGCTAGCCTAGGCTACACAAGGACTTTTAGGCCAGCCTGAATCCCACAGCAAGACCCTATCTCAAAAGAATGAAACAAACCAAAGTCATAGAACTGTGTGACAAAAAGATAAGATCACTGTACACAACCATACCTCAATAGAGTATTTTTAAAATAGTGAGCATAGCTGGGTGGCGGCGGCGCATACCTTTAACCCCAGCACTCAGGAGGCAGAGGCAGGTGGATCTCTGTGAGTCTGAGGCCAGCCTGGTCTACAAGAGTTAGTTCCAGGACAGGCTCCAAAGCTACAGAGAATCCCTGTCTCAAAAAAAAAAAAAAAGAAAAGAAAAGAAAAGAAAACAAAAAAACCCCAAAAAACAGTGAGCATAAAGGAACAACAAAGAAAAATTCACAATTATAGATACGTAGATAACAGTACAATGGGCTTCTTTGGGGATGGGGTTCACTCTGGCTGGAAGGTCTTGGAGGCCACCTGGGAGTTGGCAAGTGTCCAATCCCTGGACCTAGGTGGTAGGCACATGAGCATATCTGTCTCTGTGCAAATGTACTGGGCACACTTCCTACTGTGTGTCCTATACACAGTAGAGGAATGTGCTGCTTAAGCTTCACTGTCAGCATGTCTGGATTTAGAAATCCCCTATAAGACACTCCTCCAAGCTTGTCTGCAAAGCTGTTTGAAGAGAGAATTAACTGAATGCAGGGCAACCCACCCTGAATGTGAATTGCAGCATCCTATGGATGGAGGCCCAGGCAGAGTAGAAGAGAGCAAAGGAGAAAGCAGATGAGCCCTGGCATTCTCCTTCCCCTGCTTCCTGGCGATGTCAGGCACCGTGCCTTCCCCATTATAATGATTGCATGACTTTGAACTCAGCCCAAATAAACTTTCCTTTGTGTTAGGTATTTGGCCACAACCAGGAGAAAAATGAGTAATGCAAAAAAAAAAAAAAAAAAAAAAAAAAATAATTTCTTTAAATAAAAAAGCTATTTAATTAAAAAGTTCTCCCCTAGTCAGACTTGCCTCCTTCACTTAGCTGCTTGAGAATGGTCCTCCCCGTCTATTGGGAAAGAAAGCATCAAGTCCCCTCAGCCATGCAGCTCCGCTCTGACAGGTACCACAAAGTGGATCTCCACTTAGCTAAGTAAGGGGATGAGTTCACAACATGTAATAACAGACACAGTGTAGCATGTTAGTCAGAAGCCATGGGCCCAGGTGCTAGGATTTGGGCACAAAACAAATATAAAGTCACATATACGCAGACAACAGTTCCTGGACTCTAAATGTCCTTGTTATATTAGTGCAAGGTAACTTGGTCATTAACGGCCTTGTCCTTGGAAGGGAACATCATGGGGCCCTGATTAGTTCTTAAGAGAGCAATTTGTATAAAAAGGGCATGAATAGGACCTTGGGAATATAGCTTGCAGCAGAGGACATTCTTAGCACATGTCCTTCAAGGGTCCTTTTACACCCTCTGGCTTCCGAGTTCACCATGCGATCTCCTCACACCAGCTCCTGCCTATGATACCATCCTGTCATGCTGTAATGTGGCTGGGAGGGTCCTCACTAGAGGCCAGACACATAATGTCACCCAATAGTGGATTTTTAATCTACAAAACTTTTAGCTAAGCAGATATTCTTTCTTTATAAAGTCCCCAGAGTCGAGTATTTGGTTACAGAAATGGAAAGTAAGTAATCCATCCTAATCCCATTGGCCATCACTGAGGTCATTCTTGGGCTCGGGATGAATCTTGGAATAACTCTTATCTCCTTTTCCAGGTGGAGCTCCCACGCTGCTGGCTCTCAACATACCATCGGCATGCTGGTGCCCTTAGAAAGGCAAGCAGAAAGCCACGGGCCCTTTTCTGGAGGAGGAGAGCACACTCAAACCATCGGTCCTGACAGTTCTGTCCTGGACTTCAGTAGAAGGCCCCGCTCTATCAAGTTCTGAGTGTTTGAATACTGAGCTGATCCCATCAGCCTTTGATGCTCCACCAGAGACAATTCTAGTTGCCATCAGCCACAAGCCTGGGAGGCTCCTGAGCACAGGAGGTCAGTGGCGGTGAAGTCCTTGACACCCTGCCAAGGGTCAGCTTTTTTTCTCTGATGGCCACTCGCTGGGACATGTGGCAGGGGCTGCCATCTGGCTAGAGAAAGGCAAGTCTAAGAAGAGTTCGAGAAGGGAACACAACGCACCTTGTCGAAACCTTTGGTGACCAAATTGATGGCCAGTTCATAGCTGATTCCATCCACCCAGGCCACATCCTTCTCCCCAATGGGTTCAGAGAGGAAGGTTTTCAGCCTGGGAGACATGTGCTCCATCTCCTGCAACAGATGGGAGAAGGAGAAAGTGTTAGGTGATGTCCGATTGCTCCTACTACAGTGGACACTGGGGCGGTCTCTCCATCCAAGGGATGGAGAGCTACAGATGGCAGACTGAAGTCTGTCATTCGGCATCTACTGGGGGACTTTCAAACGCCAGGTGTGCTGTCCTGTGCTGGAGGCCTTAACGCTTCCACTCCTACCTGGATGCAGGAGAAGTGTGCTGATGGCTGTGGATGAGTTAGACTGGTCCAGCCCCATGGCAACAGAAGATGAGCTAAGTGCTAAGAATTCCAACTTTTTCACTCAACACACTTAAAGAAACGATTGTCACACTGGTCAGGTGACTCTGGGTAAAGGCACTGGCCACCAGCCTTACAACCTGAGCTTAATCCTCGAAACCCGGATGTGGTGGTTCAGTTTTAAGTGTCAACTTGCCACAATTTGGAGTCACCCGCGAAGAGAGCCTGAATGAGGCATTGGCTAGATCAGGTTAGCCTATGGGCGTGTGTGTCTGAAGGGTTTGTACTGCTGATCGATGTAGGAGGACCTGGCCCACTGGGGGCAGCACTGTTTCCTAGGCAACGGTTGCTGGACTATATAAAACAGAAGAAAGCTAGCCGAGCGGGCAGGTAGCCGGAGTGCATTCTTTTTTTCTCTGCACTGCTCTTGACTGTGGACTAAGTGTGCCCCGCTGCTGGAGTGCCTGCCTGGACAGCCCCAGGAGGGGAGGCTGGAGCTGTGAGCTGGGATCAACCCTTTCCCCTGGTGCTCCTGCTTGTCCTCGTATCTGTCACAGCAACAGAAGTGAAGCCGCCGCCTTCCGACCTCCACTGCAAACCATGGCACGGACCCACCGCCACCAGAATAATAAGCAGAAAGTTTTCAAAGAAAATGCCATCCAGAAACACATTTTTAAAAACAAAACAAAACAAAACAAAACAAAAAAAACCTGCTTGCTTTGCCTAACTAACCTCTCCTTTCTCTTAGCCACCTGATATTTTTTGGTCATACTTATATTTTAGCTTTTATCCAACTCTGTGATGGTTGGCAGATAAGTCCAGGGTGAGGTTGAATGTGGTAAACCGAGGCAATGCCCCACTTCTTTATCAAGACTGCTGGCAGCAGCCTATATCCTGAACCTCTTCTGTGAGGTGTTCACACCGGGGCTGGGAGTGGTACTCAGAAGGAAGACACTTGTCTAATGGTCATAAAGCCCTAGGAGAGATCTCCAGAAGCTAAAACAAACAAGTGAAACTGCCCAACAGCAAACAAACAAACAAACAAAAAACTCCTCACGCTCCGAACTCTGTCACACTTCGAAATGTCCCCCACCAGCTCATATTTTGAATCCTTGGTCCCCAACTTGGGATACTATTTTGAGGGCCGTGGAGCCTTTAGGAGGAAGGGCTTTGGCTGCAGAAACTAGGTCTCAAAGGTTGGGGCCTTTGCAGGTCCTACCCACCACGATTCTAGCCTGTATTCTCTGCTTTCCAGTTGGCTACAGCGTGAAGAATCCAGGCCACCTGCTCCCCCCAGCAGGAGCTATTCCCATTGTACCTTTCCTGCCTCGGTGGACTGGAAAGTTTCAGAAACTGTCTGTCAGAGATTTTGTCATGCTCGTTCAAAGGAAAAAAGATATATTCCCCTGGCTTCCTTCTCACCCAGCTCTATTCGACCCAAGCCCCTAGCCAACTAAATGGGGTCACCAGTGTTCAGGTCGTTGTCTTACATGCCAATCTTCTCTGGAAACACCCCCAGACACCAGTTCTGGAAACCTTTTAATTCAAATTAGCACAAACGGTCCAGCACCTTGCCTAGTATTCCCAAGGCCCTGGGTCAAATCCTCATAACTGGAGAATTTGGGGAATATTCATTGTCTCATAGCCTTAGCTCTATGAGCATAGGGTCTTCATCCAGCATAGGCACTTTCCTTGCTGCACTGGTCTGAACCTCTCTTCTCAACTGATCCCACCTTTGAGGCTTGTTCATGGCAGCATCCTTTTCTTGATGTCAATCTCTGTTTCCGTTTGTTGTGATTTGAGGGACAAAAAAAATCCAGTTTAAAATGGCTCACGCAAGTTTTAATTAGTACACAATATCAAAAAGTCCATAAGCGGTCAGTTATGTTCTGGTAAACACAGCTCTCTTGACTTAGCCTCCATTTGTTCATCAGCTCAATGCTTAGCTTAAACTCTTCTCAGGAACAAGCTCATTGCACAAAGGCCCGCCTTGGCTTCTGCAAATGGCACTCCCTCCTCCCTCCAAGGCCTTAACAAACATTGTCTCTACTCCACCCTGTCATCCATAAGGCCCTACAGCAGACATTCTGGCCTGAAATGCATGTACTTCCTCTAGAATGGCACAGCTCATGAGCTGCCTGGGTGGGGGTAGCCAATCAAAAACTGGGTTGTTTACCATGTTGCTAGGAATAATTACTCAGCATCAGAATAGGGCAAGAGATAATCTCCCGCATAAGCCCTCAGTAGGTCATGAGGACTCAAGAGCTGTTGTTACCTCCTCATGGCCTTCTCTCCCCACCACAGCCTGGTGCTGTGGTGGCACATGGTAGACACTTGACAACATAAATGTGTGATCAGATGCAGTCTCTCCATTCCCATCTCCCCCCTCCTGACCTTTCTGAGAAGCAGTTCTCTCGAAAAACTTCTTGTCCTCTGGTTCATTTTGGAGCACCTTGAGTTGGAACTAAACTCTTTGAGAAAGGATGGATCCAGAGGCTCTGATTTTTAGAGGGCTCTGTAAGTCAGGAGATCCTAGGAAGGAGAGAAGACGGTAGAGGCTGTGGAGGGTCCCCTGACACGGCAACTCAGATTGTCAGATGCGTGAACTCTAACCACCATATGGAGAAGTTCAAGCCCTCTTTTATTTAAGTGTTGTTTCCTAATACAAAAGACCACGTAGGGCCAGCACCAGCGGATGAACTCCCCAGGACTCTTGGATCTACAAGGTAACGGTTGGAATTTGTGGTCTTCTGGGGCCCAGGCCGGGTTCAGGGTTTCTGATTGAGGAATAGCTGGGAAGTCCCGTGAGCCATGCTAACTTTGCTGAGGGAAAATTCCACCTACTATCCATCTTAGCCATCTGTGTTAAGATAAACCTCACCTACTAGACCTCAGAACAAATGGAAACTACCACAATGTTATCAGGGCGCCAACCCCATCAAAGACCCGAACAATTGCTGTGTTTGTTTTTCCCACAGCTGAGCCCACTCAGCTCCTTGAAATACCTCCAAACACCTCCAAGGGAGAAGGCAAGAGTGGCTCTCCTTTCAGGGCCCACAGCAATCAAAGGTCTCCGTGTTATTTAAGTCAACTGCAGTGGATCTCACTCTGGGTCAATTGGCTTCACCGTCTTGGTTGTCAAGACGGGAGGCCAGTGGGTAGGGGGTGCTACCAGCATCCAATAGATGAGTTCACAGACACTAGAAACCTTGCTCAGGACAGTCCCCACAATCTAGAATTATCTGGAGAGTGGTGGAAACACAGGTAGATGAACTGATGATGGTGAGGGGAAGGCTTGGGTAGACTTTGTGGGCAGGATAGCTTTGAGGGGTATTAGGAGAAAGCAGAGGAGACACCAGTGGCTAGGGGGTTCTTTCAGAGTCTTTAGGTTACCCCAGCCAATGCTCATACAGGCACTTTTCCTTTATAAAAAATGAACCTGACCTTTAGGGGAGAAGAGAGGGAAAGAAAGGAGGCGGGGAAGGAGGGAGGAAAGAAGGGGGAAAGAGAGAGAGCTCTCAGGTTCAGGTGCTATTCTATAGACCCCCATACACATTTTCTAAGTGGGTAAAGATGCAGATAGAGGACCGTTACTGGTTTAGACAACTACTTGATTCTCATATTACATGGTGTAAAAGAATCCAAAGGAATGTCAACTGGGTGGGACCATGCTAAAAGGGCACAGTGTTCTGCTACGAACTATCTTCTAGAAACTGTTAAGGACTTGAGACGCTGTAGAAAAGGCAATTTAGCTGTCTTTCTGAAGCTCTCTTGATCTAGGAGAATAGTTCTAAGACATTTGGGAGAATGTGATTAAAATATATTACATACATGTTTGAAAATGTCATAATGAAACATTGCCTTTCTCGTATTTAAAAAACACATTTACTTTAAACAAGAAACTACTTGGTCTTAAATGTCAATAGTAGTGAAGTTAGAGACCCTGGGCTATAAATAATAGAAAATATGGATTCAAACACTCAGACAGTAGATCCACTTCCAATCTCACATAACCAGAAAAACTTCTGATGACATAGATCTGGGATTTTGTCAGTTGGTGTCTCAATAGTCTCCTCAGGACCAGTTTATCTGTCCTCCGGGTTCTAAGATGCTGACACAATTTTCTCTAATCCCCTCTGCTCAAAGGAAGGTGACTCCATTTCTCTCTAGGTGTTCCTAAAGGGACATCACCTTCCCTTAGTTTCAGGCCTAGAATCAGACAACACAGCCACCCACCCCATGTCACTGGTCTGGAGGGAGATCATCATGGGGTGGTGAGCTCATCCTCCCTGAAACTCAGTCAATGGCAGTTTCCTGACAAATGCCAGCATCCTCTAATAGTCCAGTCCAGACAGGCTTCTTTCAAAGTCTGTGTAGGGGCTACCTGGATCCCTGTTAAAGACGCCATAGGCCTGGGATGGACTTTTGAGTCTGTGCTTGCAACAGGCTCCATGGAGCGACCAGGATTGCTGGACCACAGGTCATACACTGAGCAAATTACCACATGATATTATGTATTCCTTTTGTGTTACTTATTACATAAAACTTGCTGTCTTGGCCTGGTGTGATGGCTCAAAGGGGGTAAAGGCAGTTAGCACCACGCCTGATGACCTGAGTTTCTTCTACATGGTAGGAGGAAAGAACTGACTTTCACACATTATCCTCTGGCCTCCACATGTTTTTGTGACATGTACGCCCCAGTCCTAATAAATGTAATAAAAAGTGTTTTTAAATTTATCATTTAACCCTCTTTAACATGAACTACATGTGTAGTTCAGAGATGCTGAGTGTTTTCACATTGATATGCAACCCATCTCTGGGCCTCTTCATTTTACCAACGAAGCCTCCATATCCATGAACAATGATTTTCTTGTTCTCTCTTGCCTACACCCTGGCTCTCAATTCTTTATTTTATGTTCCCATGGATAGGCTAATCTAGACACCTTATATACACGGAATCGCACAGCATCCTTTTGTGAAATTTTACTTAGTATAATGTCCTCAGGGCTTTCTTAATACTGTGGCTTATACTAGAATGACCATTTTTTTTTGTGCCAACTATTTAAGATAATAAGGAAATGCAAGTTAGCAAATAGTCACCTACTACCATTGAACTTGTAGTCTTGTTAGGTATGTTTTCAAGGTCAAACACAGATATTTTTAGATAGGTCATCTTCAAACACTTCAGAGATCTACAGAATATGGCATTTAAGATGTTTTAATAACATAGATTCTTTTTTTTTTTGTATGACTATGAGACATGAAGTAGAAGGAGGCACCAATCTACATCAGAGAAGATACTGGGCACTGAAGAAATTCCACATGGACTTCACTTTCTTTGTGGCAAAGGTTAGCCACTGGGCAAGAAAGTGCTCTTGCCCTTGCCTCGACTACTGACACTATGCTGGACAAATTGGAAAAGCAGTACACAAAAGGAAGGACTGTCAAACTTTGCCAAGACATGGAGGATAGTCCTTCAGAATATCCTGCCTCACAGAAAAGTCTGTCAGCTATGCTAGGCCTATAGGCTGAAAACAGATGCCCCAAAATTGCAGAGCAACCTTGGGTGACTGTTCAGACAGTTAGTTATTTTTGTCATTTCTTACATTTCCTAGAGTCACTTGCTTGTACTTCCTGCATACTCAGGTAATATTACTTCCTTCTTGGGTCTCTGATGGAGTTGAAGATTTTATAGTTATAGTTTTCCTTGTTACCAGATTCAGAAAAGAAATACACTAAAGAAATGTCAAGTGTATAAGATTGAGAGACATAACAAGATAATTTTGGGAATGAAAGTTAGAATAGAAAGTGAATTAGGTACAAACTTTTAGACTCACCAAGATAGGATAGATATGGAAGTATTTTCTCTGAATTTGTCAGTTGTTAATGGACTAGGCATCACTGATGTATTTATTGCCTGTATATATTGTATATAGTTATTGTACTTATTGTATAGAGTTTTTTTATAGTAGTTATAACCTTTTTTAAATTTTTTAGGCAAAAAAGGGAAAATGTGGTGATACCTTGTTTGTACAAATAAAGCTTGCCTGAAGATCAGAGGGCAGAGCTAGCCACTAGCTAACCATAGAGGTCTGGAGGTCTGTACAGATAGACAGGAAGTGATATGGCTGGGCAGAGAGAGGAAGGTGGGAGGAGACAAGAGCTCAGTCTCTTTTTGACTGGGAGTTGAGTAGGTAAGGTGACTGTGGTTTGCTCCTTCATCTCTCTGATTGCTCAGCATTTTTCCCTATATCTGACTCTGGGATTTTATTATTAAGACCTATTTGGACTTGTGCTATAGTTCTTTGGGGTACAGATCCAGATATGTTGTATTACATGGTGACCCTATTTAATATCTTTTTTGTTAGCAATCATTGTAATTTTGCATTTGGCTGCACATTATCCTCATGTGAAGATTTTTTTTTACCTATTACAGGTATTCTCTCTGTGTCTGTCTTCTAAACCATAATGGACTACTTGGGAGAACACACTGGCAAGGAATGACTGTAGCATGAGGGGGCCGGCTTGTTGGGGTTTTCGTCCCGCCCGGTACCCCACAACCGGCAAATCCCAAAGAGAAATTACACACAGGACTCCATAAGGTTATAAACTGATTGGCCCATTAGGTCAGGCTTCTTGTTAACTCTTATAACATATATTACCCCATTATCCTTATCTATGTTAGTCACATGGGCTCAGTACCTTTCTCAGTGTGACAGCTTACATGTTGCCTCTTGGTGGTCTGCGCAGGAATGGCAGAGGAACCTCCCTGCTTCCCAGAATTCTCCTGTTCTCATTGCATCACCTCTACTTCCTGTCCGGTTTTCCCGCCTATACTGCCTGCCTGGCCAATCAGCGTTTTATTAAAATATGATTGACAGAATACAGACAATTCTCCCGCATTATTTCCTCTTTTTTTTTAAAAAAAAAAAAAACAAAGGAAAATACCCATAGTCCATTTGTTGGGAATGTGGGCGTAGTATTTTAGGCTACTTTCTGCTGGTGGGGGCGCTGATAATCTTATGGGGACCTAAAGAAAATTTAGAGTTATAATCAAGTCCTGACTGGAGTATCCTGTGGGTCTTAATCATCTCAGGCAGCAGTCTTGAATCTGTTCTGGATGTAGAATTCAGACATCCAGGCCATCTGTTTCTACCGGAAATTTCTCAGGAGGTCTCCCTTGATCAAAGATGATTTTTTTTTAACTCTGAATAAATCTAGAGCCTCTCATTTTTTGTGGAAACAAAAGCAAAATCTCTTCTCCAAAGTAACATACCTTTTGACTTCAATTTTGAAGCCAAGGTATTTTTAAAATATCTATCGTGGATTAGTTCAGCAGTATTTATAAACAACAGTCCTTTAGCAGCTGTTGCTCCTTCCTCAGCATTTAAACAATTTAAAGAGAGCATAATAACATATAGTATCAAGATTCTTTGTGTATTTTTTATCTTTGTGTGGCTTTAATTTAACCTCTATTTTTTTATTTTTACTTTTAACTTTTTGAGACAGGTTCTCTGTATATCTTTGTCCTG